CCAGAGGTTTAGTCCGGATTTGGCATTCTTGTCCACTCATGGAGTCCTTCCCAAGGATAGGCAGGTGTTTTTATTAAATAATATTAAAGGTATGTGTTGCAAGATGTCGGCTGTGCCAAGCCAAGCTGCCTTTTGCCATTGACCGATGGGGATTTTGTCAATGCCAAGGTTGCATATGGCTCCAACAGTTACAACAGTTCCATTTCGTGACTGCTCCAAATCATCACAGCACTGACTTACGACTGCTTTTCACCCTTATGACCATCGTGATCAAAATTTGGACCCTTGGCAACTGGTTCATACTTATGACCGTTCTGTTGTGTCCCAAAGTCACGTGTGATCCCCTTTCGCGACCTTCTGTCAAGCCAAGTCAATGGGAAAGCCAGGTTCACTTAACTCTGGCAAGAGAAGTCGCATGGGCCATAAATGAACAACTGTGGTGCCTTGTAGTGTCTCAAAACTTAAGTTAGTTTTGAGGTGGTGTCTCAACTGTGGTGTCTCAAAACTAAGAAACTGGGCTTCCAAAATTGTGTTCAGTTCAAAAATGGTTTCTAATTAATTAGATCGCTTTGGGGGGTGGGGAACATACGAGTATATTACAAAAACAAATAAAGCAATTATGTTTCTGCCCTAAAACCACTGAATTTTAAAACCCAGCAGGAATTATTAGCTAAAATGGCCAAATTTCAATAAGCGGTGAACAAGATCCTGGAGGCTGGAAAAACAAAGGATTTGAAAAACAAGGTAGAACGTGGTTAGTTATCGTGGTCATCAAAAGTTGTCAGAGGACTTACTGACCCCAAATCCCATGAAGAGCCGTAATGATGTTTACAAGAAGCCGTTAATTGCTCTGTATTATGTCTTACTCCAGGCAATGTGGTTTGTTTCACTGTTATATTATGCAGACCAGCCATCAAAAGTGTCTTTTTGGTTGCAGGAAGTAACCAAGCTTTTTAAGCCACGAATCGGGTTAAGAAAACTATAGCTTAGTGTTGTGAATGTTCCCTAGAGCCCTTCAACTTTAAAGATGGGTGGACTGCAATTCCCAGAATTCCTCAGACATGATGGGGGATTATGGGAATTGAACTCCACCCATCATAAAAGTTATTGGGATGAACGAACAGTGCCCTAGATTTAAGATATTTTTGCTGTCCCGGCTCCCTAATGTTATTATATTCTAAGCTTTGCTTTACATAGGATAAAAAGGGAAATTTATCATGTTTTTAAACCACCCAACTCCCTCACAGAGGAACTCTAAATAAACATTAAAAAACCAGCAAGACACAACATATTGGATTAGAAGAGTCGTATGGAAAAGGACATATACTTTCCTCAATCCCTTCCAAAATTTATGAGACTTATATACTGTATAAGGCAGAGACCTTTCAATAAATGCTCCCTTAGCGAAAGCCATCAAGAGCAGAAACAAAACTGTCAAATCCTTCTTGTCACCCAAGCTTGGTTTTCTTGCAGACGTTTCATTACCAACCTTGGTAACATCATTAGGGTGTAAGGGAGAAAGGAGTTAGCTGGCTGTTTATTCCCTCTTCTATGCACCAATGTTATCTACTTAGGTGGTAAAACATCAGCAAAGAAACAGGTAGGTAATTCAAAGTAGGTAACTCAAGAGAACAAGAACCCAATAAATAAGGCTATATGGTCCTCGTTTAGCGACCTTTCAGTTACAACGCGGATTAAAAAAATTAACTTTGCAAGCTGTCCATGCACTGACAACCTATGCTAGTCTATACAGCAAAGGGAAGCAGATGTCCGATCATAAGAGCTGCCGGCAACTGCTTAAATACCAAGTTGCGGGTTCCAATGGTGGTCACTAAATGAGGACTGCTTGTGTTCAATGCCCCCCTCCCCCCCGCAATGAGAAGATGGGTTGCGAAGAACCACCGGATGCGAATCCCGCCCTCAAAGGCAGGCCCCTCTGGTTATCAACGAAGCAGCAGACTTCTGAGAGTACCCACATTCAAATTTATTGAAGAGGAAGGTTTTTTTTCTGCTAAAATCAAAATTAACTTTCCAGAATGGTTTGGTCTTTGGAGATGGTGTTTCACTGGGGAGGAAGAGGAGGAGGAGGAAGAGAAAGGCCCAGTGCTTCAAACGACGACACTGAAAAAGTTAGCAGTGCAAACAGAAAAAGCTAGAGTCAAGCGAATGGCTAATTTATTCTAAAAATGGAAGTTGTTTTTTTTTCCAACCTACAGATGCCAGAATTGTTAAGAAAGGAAAAGTTACAGATGTAAACAACCACACAAAAGTTACATGTTCAATGGCAACACCTCCCTCCCCGTATTTTTATTTTTTTATTTTTTTACTGGCCGCTTCAAACGTTTCACCATTCGTAAAAACATTTTTTTTCCTTTTTTTACTGCCTTCGGTTTCGCTTGAGCTTTTGTGTCTACAGCAACTAAGACATACAATCATGAAAAAACACTAACAGATTTTTTTTTTTTTAAACAGGCTGAATTTTTTAAAGGTTTTTTTTTTTTAAACCGTTTGACTTTTTTTTTTTCTCTTTTTCAGTTTGATTTTTTACAAAAATGTGCAGAAAAAGAAAAAGACATCTACTAAAGTTGCTAAGAACTCTCTCTCTCTCTCTCTCTCTCTCTCGGTCTGTTGGTCTAAGGGTGCAGCAGTTCCATTCATTCCCCAGTCCAGAAAGCCAGAAATCCCTTTTTTTGTAAAGGTCCCCATCAGAAAAAGACCTTTACTTTTAAAAACAAAAACATTCTATTTCCTAGAAAGTTACAGAAGCTAACTGGGGGCCCGGCGTCTCTTTCCCATTTATCCTGTGATCCAACAGGTGTAACGAAGGAACGCCTTACGGTGATCTCAGCAGCTGGCACTCTGCACATGGGCAAGGAAGGCCCACAAGCCAACTTTTCAGAGCCCCTCCAACAATTTCAAACTCACACAAGCGGTCAGCTACTGAAGTTACTCACAAGCACGGAGAGTCTTCCCTGTCTCACCCTCAGCATATGTGCGCTGTTTTTCTCCAGAAGAATAATTATTATTTTTTGTCCCCCTTGGTGGCCTTAAGTATTGAAAATACCAGTTAACTTTAGATATAAAAACAGTTGTTCACACAACCACACGCATGCACGGAGATCGAATTCTGCCTTTCCTTCCCCTCGTCTGTATCACCTTCCCCGCCCCCCCATCCAATTTCCCAGGCACCTCCCGAAATTGGCAGAATTCTGAATCTGGCTGAAATGCAGAATAAGCATCGTTATCATTATTATCATTTTTTAAAACAGGGATGGAAATAAAAAGCTGCTTGCGAAGACTGGGAAAAGAGATTTCGGGAGAATCTATTTGTTTTTTTAAAAAAAAAAAATTTAATAAAATAAACAGCCAACATTTAAAAAAGGAAAAAGAACCCCCAAACTGCCCACCCCCCGAATTTAAAAAGTTTGAATTTCAAACAGTGAATCACAAGGAACTAATCTTTTAATCCCTGTGGGTGGGAATCAGACATAATTAGCCAAGCTGGAGACAAGCAGCGCCAGGAAGCAAAGGGGTATTTACACGATGGGGAGCGGGGGGCATCCAGAGGGCATCCAAGCCAAGAAAGACAAGTGAATTCAATAATGTGAGGGAAGAGAGAATAGGGAAGGAGGAGGAGGAGGCAGACAAGAAGGAAGACCAGGAAGAGAAGGAAGGAAGGAGGAAGGGAAGAGGAGGAGGAGGAGGAAAGGAAGAAGACGACTAGAAGAAAGAGAACTATGCTTTCAAATAAGCACCAAAATTCATTTTCCAAGCTAGAAACAAGCGGTCTGTCCAACCCCCTCAAGGCAGGCTGTCTCCCCTTCCCCACATTATGTAGAGGCTGATCCGTTTTTCAAAACCATTATAACCACCACGGGGTGATGGGCTTCCCGTCTCCGATTCCCACCCCTGCACTGGACAGTATTTTAAAAAGCAACGAAAAAGAAAAGACGACCTTTCAGTGTTCCACGTTAAAGCTACTCGGAAGTTGAATTCGACCTGCCAAGCACAGATTTCCCTATATACGTGTCAGGTGCTAACACCCAGGAGATCCGGCAAGAAACCCTGAGAGATTTAAGTTCCTTTCATTCCATTATCAAGGCCAAATAAAAAACACCCAACTAAAATCAAAGAAGAAGAAGAAGAAGAAGAAAGGAGGAGGAGGAAAGGACATAGATTCTGTAGAGAGGATCAAAAGGAGCCGGCTGAAAAAAAAAGAGCTACAGGCTTCAGACGGGGACTGGTTTGGTGGTACGGCCGGAGGGATTTGTGAGCCTTGCTTGGAAATTCGAAGGAGGAACGGCGGCGAGGGGAGTTTAGCCTCCGGTCTGTGGCACCCCACATTCACTGTCTGAAAACAGGGGGTCGTGAGGGGGGGGTTATATTTTGACAGAGCGAGGAGAAGGGCCTGGTTCTCACCCGGGAGTTACTGAACAGCGAAAAATCGAATTATATGCCGACACACGACCTCCCCTGGGTTTTAAGTCGAAAATGGGGGGGGTGCCCCAACCATCCACCTTCCCAGCCCTGCACCCCCCCCCCTCTTCCCCCCCCCAGCAGCCCTGCCCCCCCCCCGTTTCTGTCCCACCCCAGCCCCCAGGACAAGCTGCCAGCCTAGCTGCTCTAACCATGTCTTAATTTTCCTATCCGGTCATAGACGGCTTTTTTTTAAGTGCTGCTGCTTTCTCTCTCTCTCTCTCTCTCTCTCTCTCTCTCTCTCTGTTTTTTATTTTTCCCAGGCGAACAAATGGGGATTACAAACGTCTAAACTAGAGTTCGAAATGTGGTGTGCGGGGTTTCGTGTTTTTTTTTCTGGTTTTTTTTTTCTCTCTCTTTTTTATAGAATAAGACAATATTTTTTTTTTTTCCAACAAACTTTTAAAAAAAAAATTTACAATTTTTGTTTCGGTTTTCAAACCTCCCCCCTTTCCCCACCCCCCCTCTTTCTCTCTCTCAAACCCAGCCACTGCTTTCCTCCTCCTCCTCCTCCTCCTCCTCCCCCCCCCTTCCCCCCCCCCCCCAAACTCCCATTTCCATTGCTTGCTTCTGGAGAAGTGGTGGACGCTTCTCCTCCCATCTCTCCCTCTGTCGAGCCTGGCTGCTTGGCTGAAGGGTGGAGGCGTCTGAGGGGTTTCACCGGTACCCCTGGTATCCGTAGTAATTCCTGTAGTATCGGTCTCTGTCTTGATAGTAGTTCTGCCACTGAAAACAAGACAGAGTTAAGAAGGGACGTCCGCGGTAGATTGCTTGACCAGACAGTAAGATTTACCTGACTACAGGTAGTCCTAGACTTTTAGGGAGGCCGAGATTTCGGTTGCTAAGTGAACGATATGTTTTAAGTGCCCCGTTTTATGAAACTTCCCTGCCACGGTTCTCAATTGAATCGCTGCAGTTGTTCAATTAGTCGAACTGGATCTGGCTTCCCCGTGGGCTCTTGCTTGTCAGGAGGTCCAAAATGGGGTTTCTTGATGTGAGTCAATTGCCAAAGTATCTTTTTCAGCTCTGATCACGTGACCACGGAGGTCGTAAAATGAGACGAAGCTCACTCGACGTCTCACTTAGCAATGGAAATTTGGGGCTCAGCTGTGGGCATAAGTCAAGGACTGCCTGTAGTCAGATCCCTACTGGAAGAGCAGCGGCACCTCCAGTTTTGGACAAAATCACGCCCGTCGCTTCGCCAGCACAATTTCTATTTAAGGACTACAACACACACACACGAAAATTGTAAAATAAGGGACTGTCGTAACTTACAACCATGATGGGCAGGCTTCATTATGGTTGCACATCAAGAACTACCTGTAAATCTGCCCGGAAAGTATTTTTTTTTAAACCACCTCTTACCTCTCGGTTGTAGTCCCTGTAGTAGTCCCGGTATCTGTTGTACTCGTAATCACGTCCGTAGAAGCGATTGTAATCCCTGCCTCTGTAGCTGTCGTAGAAGTTGCGATAACCCTGTGGTGTTAAAAGATGTCGGTTAGAAGCATCGATGTCCTAGGGCCACTGGGGCAGAAGCCTCATTCATAGACCATGGCTTGCTCCAACCAGGGCCAGCTTTCGTCACCGCCCTGAGTTTCTAAGCACCTTCCTTGGACCATCAAAGGTATCAAGGTTTCTCTTTCCTAACCCCTTTGGCATTTGCATCCTCTAGACGGGGGCCCCGAACACCCACCCACCCAGTCCTGGCCACAGCATGCCAGAAACCAGGCGGTGCAAACAAGCGAAGCCCCATCTGTGGGATGCAGGCAGCACCGAAAATCATGTCCCCTCTGGTCCACGGAAAATCTTTCTCCGTGGAACAGATTTCTGGGGCCCAAAAGGTTGGAGACCACTGCTTTTAAACTAATGGGGGGAGAGGGGAGAATTAGTGGCCCCATCATTATTTAAGAGCCATGGTAGCACAGTGGTTAGAATGCAGTAATGCAGGCCAATGCTACTGGCAGGAGTTCGATCCGGACCAGCTCAAAAGTTGACTCAGCCTTCTGTCCTTCCGACGTTGGTAAAACAAGGATCCGGATTGTTGGGGGCGATGGGCTGACTCTGTGAACTGCTCAGTGAGGGCTGTAATGAACTGTGAAGCGGTACGTAAAGTCTGGGGGCTATTGCTATTTATTGCCGATTCGGCTGGCAAGGGCCACTGATGAGTTCTAAATTTGCACACGTTAAAAATAACTTCCAAGAAAGTTAAAAGCAAGCAAGGCACCAAATGATCCCCATGAGCAATAGAAAATATTTTAAAATGCCCTTATCAATGTGTGGGAAGGAAAGCCAGCCAGATTTGCCATTATCACTGGGCAGCATAAAAATAAATGAATCAATGATTAATAAGCAAACATAGCATTAAACGGCTTGGGTGCAACTCCAAAACTGGAGCAACGACATTGACAAAATTCAACACCTGTCAATTGCAAACAATTGATTGGAACAACTTAATATCCTGCGATGAAACCTTTAAAACCATCCAACATCCACATCTGCCTAACCCAGGTCCCTGGGAAGGACTCCAGGTGGATAAAAAAGGCTAGATCCAGTCTGAACATCTGTCTGACTTGTGCGACGACCCACAAAAAATAAAAGATATACTCACGCCTCTGTTTCCAGGTTGTCCCCAGTACTGCTGTTGTCCATAGGCTCGATTGTTGTAACCTCGGCGCTGACTTCCTCCGACTGGGAAAAACAGGAGAGAAAAGGAGTTAGACCACAGTTTGGGCTCGGTGAAATCCATCCGGATTTCTGATGAAGTCCAAGATCCTAGCTGAATGGGGTTTGCTGCAAATGCCCCCTTCTAGTACTGACGCTAGCTAGTTGGGTAATGGAATGTCTGTAAAATAGAACCAAGCTCAGAAAGCACCAAAGACCCCATAGTCCTCCTCCCTCCTCCTCCTCCTCTCCACAAACCCCCTCTAGCACTGATGCTGTTGGTCAGGTAATGACATGTCTGCAAGAAAGCAACCAAGATCTGAGAGGACTAAGCACCCCCCCCAAAAAAACTGAATCCCATCATGTGAGCCCCTCCAAATTGTTCCCCCCACAAGCCAGCAGAAATGCCAGAGGGAAAAAAAAAAGTTGATTTACAGGGGCCAAAGAGCAAGCACAGAGAGAAAGAAGAGAGTCATAATACACGGCTCTGAAAGGCAGAATGGGTCGACTCGCCCCGGGACAATTCAACAAACGCAAGAACTAAATTTGGACGAATAACAACAACTGAATGAAACAATTAAGCCAGCGTTGAGTTGTCCCGCAGCGACTTGGCTTTCGTAGACCCTTGGAAAGGGCCCACAATTCTTTTCAAGATCCGAACTAGTTCCTGGCAGTTCAGCAAACCAGGACAACGGTACCCGCGGCCTGCCTCGCCCGCCTCCAGCCTCACCGTATCCCTGGCCGCGGTTGCGATTCTGGCGGTTGCGCTTGTTCCGGTTGTTGCGACGGTTCGTCCGTTTCTCGGAGGGTGGGAGGAGTTTCCGGGCCTCTTCCTTGTACTTAGTGACCAGAGGCTGAGCCTCTTCTTTCGCCAACTCTTGGAAGAGGACTTCGTCGATGTAGTCGCACTTGTCCGGAAGGGAGAAGTTGGCTGGGGTGGAAGCGATGCAGAAGGACGGAGAGATGAGAAGGCCCCCCCCAAAGCCTCATTTCCCCCCCACCCCAGCTCCACCCCAGTCTGGACCTCTGAATGGACCGTACCTTTCATTTCCAGCATCACCGATTCTGGCACGCTCTCCCCTTCCGCTTTCTCCCTCTGCTGCAGCCTATCCACCCAATCTTCCTCGCTGGGCACTAGCACCACCACTTTGCGAAGGAACCCTTTGAAAGGCAGCAGTTTCCTCCGCTGGCCGGAATTGTAGACATTGCACTAGGAGGGAGGGGAAAGGGGGCTTCAGAGAGGGAAAGCAGCCGGGTTCACCTGGATCGCACCTTCCAGAGATGCTGGAGCCATTTGGAGCCGTGGTGGCACAGTGGTTAGTATGCAGCATTTCAGGCTAACTCTGCCCACTGTCAGCACTTCAATCCTGACCAGCTCCAGGTTGGCTCAGCCTTCCGTCCTTCCGAGTTCAGTAAAATGAGGACCCAGGTTGTTGGGGGCAGTAGGCTGACTCTGTAAACCGCTTAGAGAGGGCTGTGAAGCACTGGGAAGCGGTATTTAAGTCTACGTGCTATTGTTATCTTCCTCCCTCCCTGTGGTTAGATTGCATTATTACAGGATCTACCAACTGCCAGGAGTTCAATCCTGACCGGCTCAAGATTGACTCAGCTGCCTCTCCTTCTAAAACGAGGACCCAGATTGTTGGGGGCAGGATGCTGACTCTGTAAACTGCGTAAGAGACACCGCATTTGCTTAAAACTGGCTCAAAAGACGTAAAATCAGATCAGTCACATCACTGACCCATTTTACAACCATAATAGGTAGGCTCCAATAAGGTCCTAACTCAAGGACTACCTGAGCAAGAATCATTTGGCTTTTAAAGCTGCCTCTGTCTATCTGGTGAAAGAACACCAACAATGGAAAAAACCCAAGTGCGAAGTCAAAGTTTATCCATTCACTGAGTTGACCCAACAGGCTAGAATAGATCATAGGATGGCGTACCTGGCTTAGCTCAGCGTGTTTGAGCCATGCCAAACGTGGTTTGTTTGAGAAACCACAATAAAACAAAGCAGGGGTTGGTATTTGTTATGTGTAAACTGAATTGCAGAGGTCAAAAAATTGCATCCTCGCTCCGCTGGTTCAGAATCTCTTGTGGAGATAAAAAAAATTCTTTTGCCACGTTTGTTCTCTTTTCCTGGGACTAATCCACCTGACGTCTCTGGATTTTTAAATATAAATTACCTGATCGAGAATAAAATTTCTCCTTGTCCGGGGTGCGATCTGGACCAGTTTGCTCACGCAACGGGCAGCTTGCTGAAGCAGCGAATCGCGAGCTTCGATAGGCAGCGGCTCTTCAACCACGGGGCCTTTTGTCTGACGAGGAAGGAAATTGGGGGAGAGCAGAAAGATTAAAGGAGGGAGGAACCTGCACATTTGGGGGGGGGGGAAATAAGGGAGGGGGATCAATCGGGGGCAGTTCCTCCCCCAAATTTTGGAAATTATGTATCACCAGATAGGATTGTTTTTTTGTTTTTTTTTTATTTGAGGAAATCAGAAGGATGAGAGGCCCAAGAAAGGTTGTACAACAGGGCAAAACTCAGTTAACAACTGTCTCGCTTAACAATGGAAATCAGGAACTCAATTGTGGTTGTACGTCTTTGCAGCTGCTATTTTTCGAGGTGGGGGGGTGTCACCTGTTTTGGTTTTTCTACCTTCATTTGGTACAAGATGTTGTCAGTCCCCAAGATGTTGAAGCGCTTGTCCTGATTCTCCTGGGTGTGCTTCTGGGCCCAAAACGTTTTCCCACATCCTGGTAGCCCAACCATCAGTAAAACCTGGTTCAGGAAGACGAGAGAGAGAGACAGTAAGCGACGCCATCCAAGCGAGGCCTCTGCAGGAGAGGATGCGGCCAAAAGGCTATTAAGGCTATGGGGGCGCCTGGAAATGCCTCTCCGTGCAAAAAGTTCAGATCGGCCGAGACAGCCTTGAGGAGGAAAAAGATAAAAGGGAAACTAAGATACAGTACCCAGAAATATTTGTAGCCTTTTAACCGATCCACTAAGAGAGACAGGCACTCAAGGAGGGCTTTGCGCTGCCAAAAAAGCTGTTGGCCCCGAAGGCCAATTGAGAACAATAGCATTTGCTTATTGTGAGGTATCTCGAGGACTAGCAGCATGACTGGCTTTTAAAAGAGGTCTGCAGGGATTCCGATTCAGTGGCTGCTAGTCGCTATTTCCTCAAGGCTTCAGAAGCAGACAACGGGAGCCTCAATTGTTTTGGGGTGCTTCTGTGGGTCTTCTCAGGGACACTGATGACTGGTCACTGTGGGAATCAAAGCTCTAACAGACCAAGATAGCATTTCCGTTCTTAGTTTAGAGAATTAGAGATCTTAGAATTGTGGAGTCCTTGGCGTTCTCTGAGCTTGGCTGTTTTCTTGAAGAAGTTTCATGACCCGACCTTATCATCCGGACAAGGCAAGCCATCTGTTTATAAATAGAGAGTAAACCCCACTCCCTTCTAGCACTGATGATGTACCCTAGCTGGGTCATGAAACGTCTGCAAGAAAACCACCAAGCTCTGACAGCATCAAAGACCCCACAGTTCAACCCCGAGCTACCAATATCGGTAGTCTTAGAACTCTTAAAGTGAAAAAGGAAACACCACGCAGTTTCTGAAACTTAAGGTTCAAGGCGCAGCCTTCTCCCTTTTGGGAATTCTCTCTCTCCTTGCCATTGATCAAACAGAGGGCACGGGAAAGTGCTCACACCTACATAAAGGAGAGAGTGGGACACTCAAGGGCAGGGATCTTCACACTTTGCAACTTTAAGACCGGTGGACTTCAACTCCCAGAATTCCTCAGACAGGCTGAGTCCACCAGTCTTGTCAAGTTTGGAGACCCTTGACCAAGAGGAGAAAAAAATAATTCCAATCGGACCGACGTGGTCAATCCACGGCCCGTATTGCCTTCCTGACCTACTAACTCCATCAGGCACCTTCCCTAAAGGGCTGCAGGTTCTTACCTATTGATAAAGATACGCAAACCGACGCTAGGGATCGAATTTAAAAAAAAAACACCTATTCACAGCTGCAACACTGCAGCGCGGACGCCACCTGATCCCTCAAGACTGAAAGCATCTCACAGGCTGCTTACTGGGGAAGGGGTGGGGGGGGGGGGGGGGGGGCAGAAGGGAGCAAAACAAGAGAGACTTAGGCTACCTCACATTTTGCAGGCGCTTTGGGGGGTGCCGGGGTGCGCACACGCTCCTCCACGGGGACGGCGTGAATGAACAGGTAATCCTCAGGAACCGGGAAAAAGGGCTCGTCCTTCTGGCCGAAATTGACCTCCACGGCACAATTCTTGCACAGGACGTGGGGCAGAAGGGCCCTGTCCCCCAGCAATTCTTTGCTGATTTGGAAGGCCACGCCCAGGTCTTCTCCGTTCTTGGAGAAGGACAGCTCGACCTCTTCACTTTCAAAGTTCTGTAAGGCAGGAGACGGAAGGGGTGTGAGGGGAGGGGGGGCGTTATCGGCCCTGCGGGGGGATTTGGACCACGCCCCCCCTGGAGCCGTGGTTTTTGGGGGGGGCGGGGGGGCTCGTTTTTCAAGCAGGAAGCAGCGTGGTTGCTTTGCTGAGCGGTCAGCAAGCCAGACAGACAGATGGGGCGTAAGGAGATTAGGGCAAAGGCTGAAGATGGCACTTAAAAGCAGGTGGCGGTCTCCTGAATGAGACCGGATCAAGGAACAGAGCAGTTCACTTGCCTCACACCACGGAGGGGGGTTCGCCAAAGGCTCACGCCCCCAATCGAGTCTTTCCCGCACGGCACTTACGGCAAAGCAACCGATCACATCGGTCTCCCCAAAGGTCTGACCAAATTCTTCAAACTGCCCATTTTCAGCCTTCAGCCCTCGTCCATCGTAGCCGTAAGAAAACTCATCCTCACCTAGGAGACAGCAATGCTTACTCTGGCGGTGCTTGGGACACCCCGCCCCCGTTCCTAGCCTCCTCATTACTAACCCAGGAAGGGTCAGCTGAGCTGTCCTTGGGAGGTGACTTGGAAGGGCGACTTACCGAGCTGGGAACGAGAGAGGTCGACAGACCACCCGACCCGGAGCAGCTGAGCCTCTGTGCAGCCTTCCTTGAGGGGCAGGTTTTGTATCACCTAAGACAGGGAGGGGGAAGACCAAAAAAAACACCAGATGACGGGAAACGGGCCGAGAGAAGATGTGAATCTCCCTTCCTGGCCAGTTTCTCCTTCGAGTTCCCTGCTTCTGTTAAGACTTGATTCTGATAAAAAGCACCGTGTGAATAGCAGCTTAAGCAATTTGACTTCCTGGTCAATTCATTTGTAATACAAAGAATCCTCGACTTACAAGCACTTAACAACAGTTCAGAGTTACAGCGGCAGCACCGAGGAAAGGGACTTACAACCAGCCTTCGCACTCATGACTGGCTGCAGTGTTGCCAAGGTCACGTGATCACCATTTGCAATCTTCCCAGCTGGTGTCTTGACAAGAAAAGTCAACGGAGCAAGCTGGATTTGTGGAACGAATGCACCATTCGCTTAATAACGCAGTGATCTGCTTAACAGCTACCAAAAAGGCTGGAAAATCGGGTGCAGCTCACTCACTTTCCTTGCTTAGCAATGGAAATTCTGGTCCCAGCTGTGGTCATAAGTCAAGGACTACCTATTCTAAATGCTGCTGCTTTGTGCTCATTAGCTAAGCCTTTCAAGCAATTGCAAATCTACAGTTTTTCCTAACAATTTTCACATCATCATCGTCATCTTTTAACGACCCTGTAATGCCCTTGTGGAGTCTGGCAACTGAATGGAGCGGGATGTTTTAGTGGCCGGATGCCCTTCCTGTCGCCAATGCGGAGTTTTGTTCAGCAGATATATTCTCACTGGCCCAGAGAGAGAAATATCTGCCTTTACCTAGGATCAATCTCGCAGCTCCACTTTCGGGCCATCGCACCACCCCTAGCGAAGACACATCCTGCCCCGTAAATTGAATGGAGTGCACCCCAAATGGGCCCTGATCCCACTTGGGACCAAAAACTCTTAACGTGGACTACCAGGCTCCTCACCTTCACCTCAAAGCAGACTTTGCCCCCTTTCACCCCGTGTGTGCTTCTTGCCCCAGACCAGAGATTGGGGAACTTCTCCGAAAACAGAGGCTGCCCTCCATAGCGGTCCTTGGTGGCTTTGAAGTGAAGATCGCATGTATCTGTGCGGGAAACGGAAGCAGGGGCGCGATGAGAACCAGAGTTCGGCTAACTCCGCGACAAACCAAAACAAAGACTTAAGGCCTGCAATTATTTTACTACATCTGGGTTTTTTTCCCCCTGTTGAATCGGAAAGCGGGAGATTAAATATGAAAAACAAGAACAAATTCCACTGATTTCACAGAATTATACTTCGATGGGGAATAAGGCCGCAGGCTTGCCTTGCGCACTGGACGATGGAAGCGAGGATTATGACTCAGATTAGTGTTCTGCTTCAAGAGGGCCAGTAAAATAAAACCACAGAACCATTCAGGTTTTAATTATCTTCTTCAGGCAACTGGTGCTGCCTTGAGCAGGACTGAAATTTATTCCACCTTCCATTATTCTCTTTGCTTTGGCTCCTAGAGAGACATGCGCACAGAACTGATACGTACATGTATCCAAGACCACGAGAGTCTCATCATCCTCTGCCTTAGCTTCCTCTTCTGGGGGTGGTGGAGACTTAGATCTGCATTGAAAAGTACAACCAAGAAAACCATCTTTAAAATTCACCGTCATTAAAAAAAAGGTGTGTAAAAAGAAAACAACCCTCTGCTCTCCCCCCATCCACCCCGCAGTTCCGGCTTCTGTTCTTTGGAATACAGGTAGTCCTCGACCTATGACCCACAACGGGGTCCAAAATTTGTGAGGCATTTGTTAAGCGAATGTTGCCCCGTTTTACGACTTTTCTTTGCCACGGTTGTTAGGCGAATCAGGCTTCCCCGTTGACTTTGCTGGTCAGAAGGCTGCAAAGAGGGTTTTGCATGACCCCAGGATGCAGCAATAGTCATGAGTATGAGTCAGTTGCCAAGTGGTCTGAATTGTGATCACGAGACCACGGGGAAGCCGCAGTGGTTGGAAAGTGTGAAAAAAAATGGTCATAAGTCACTTTTTTCTAGTGCCGTTGCAACTTCGGTCACTAAATGAATCATTGTAAGTCGAGGACTGCCTATACCCCACAGACCAAGATAAGGAAATTGCTGAAGGAGCTTCCATAGCTAAAGCCGGCTTCATCCTAGGTCTGCCTGGCCCCACTCCAACATCCCAATCACTAGGATGCAGTGCATTCTGTCATCGTCATCATTTAAGGACCCCAAAATCCCTTGCGGGGGGTGGAGTCTGGGCAACTGAAATGGAGCCGACTGTTTTAGTGGCCGGATGCCCTTCCTGTCGCCAATGCGGAGTTAAATTCAACAGATATATTCTCATTGTGCCCAGAGAGAGAAACAGCTGCCTCTACCTAGGATCGAACTCACAGCCTCCTGGTTGTGAAGCGAGAGCTCCGCCTCTAGGCCACCGCACCACTCCACAATACGGTGTATTCTATGTTCCACAGAAAGGTGAGAGCCGGTACATCGATCGTTATCAATGCCTGCAAACCTTTGATAATAAACCCGCTCTCCAGATTTCCTACTGCACTTCTGTTTCGCTCCTCTGGCACAGCAGGTTAAAATCCCAGCCCAAGCCACCCGTAGCTCACCGGCTGTTATAAGCCTCCTCTCGAAACTCAAAATAAGCACGACCGTGCTCTTCCTTCTCATCGCGCTGTCTTTTGAGGCCGTGTCGTTCACCGTCTGGCCCAGCCTGTTTTGCCTTCTCATCCTCATTTCCTGGGAAGAGGCAGAAAAACAAGCAGGCAGATTTTGTTTTTTTTGGGGGGGGAGGGGGGGAGACATACAGAAAACACGCACGTCCTTTTGACCATTTCAAGCACAGAATATAACCCTCACCTGGTGCTCAGACTCTTGAGTAGCCCAAATCCCTTGTGCCCAATAAATAAATAATTACGAACAAGCCTCACATCACATCTGTCGACTTTAGGTACCTATCACTCAACGCAACTGCAGGAAATCAAAATGGCATGTTCATTTTCCACTTCGGAGTTCTGCCTTTCCGTAATGCTCTCAGAGGGAAGGCCTTTTAACATATGCATGATTGACATATACATCATTATCCCTTATTTATACTTTCTGGAAAAGCTTCCACATTTTAAAGACTAATGTGGATGCATATATATTACAAAAGCTTTCTGAATGCAGAAAATCAATCTCGTGTAGATTAAAATCCCCCAAAGACCTTATCCCATATGTACCATCTAAACTTCAACAGGCCTGTGTAGTTAGCTATGCAATTCATTATGTCATTAATATGTTTCCTGCAGATGTGTGAAATTTTATTTCAAGTTCTGCAATTAAGTCCTCACTGGGTATGGGGACCAACAATTTTGCAAACTGAAGGAGAGCAGTTTAATAAAAGCATACAGCTAGAAAAAACTGATTAAATATTATATTTGGGGCTTGGTATTTATTAAATCGCAACAGAGCACAAGAAGCACTTCAATTTCTTGCAAGGACCTAGCAAGTATATCAGATTTGTAGTGAAAACTGTATAAATCTCCTCACAACATTGTTAGAGAGTGACAATTAAAATATGCATTGCACTCCAAAACGAAATCTTACTGCCATATTTAAACGTTTATACTGCTCATATATTGCTCAAAGTAAAAGGGAACAATAACACAGAGATGGCTGTTAGGAATATAAAGAAAATGTTCAGGGCTATCTATAACAGGTTAAAACCCCAAAACATAATTTTTAAAGTATTTTCTTGCAGCTAGCAAAGAAGAATAGAGCAAATGCTCAGGTAATCATGACTTCCTCTCTGCTAAGCACATAAATTGAACAATAATTCTTTAATTATAATTATTCATACAGTATCATCAATATTATTCAAGTTATGCTGTGGATGACACTCAACTTTACATCAAACACATTCTGGAGCACATTCTATCCTTAAACTACTTTAGCTTTATTAATATCTATGATGTTTATGAATGACTTTTGTAGATATTTAATTGTTATGCCCTTTTTTAACCTAGATGAGAAAGAAAGCTAATTAAGACCATCCAAGACAACTTATGGGACCCAGGAATTCTGGAATTTTTTTAGAGGTTCTGGGAATCCCTAACAACGGGAGAGGGCACTATGTTGAACGGGGATCACACTTTGTGACAAAACAAAATCAGAACCACAGACTGTGTTTCACAACATATTTTACACAAATTGCTGTGGTGCATATCCTAACAAAGCAATTTTTGGCAAAAAAAAAGGGGGAGGGGGAGCAGAACTCTGCCCTAAGGAGCCCAATCTAAGATTTAGCACACACACACAAAAAAGAAAGTTATGCTGTGTAGACTATTCTGCTACATCAGCTTTTAAAGGATATTTTTAAAAAAAAAATCCCAGAAACTGCCACAGCATAAATACATTTGTGGAGGAAGACTTCCACAGACCAAATGTCTCTAATTTCAAACATTGTTTCTATTTACAAAATAGTAGTTGGCAAAAAATCAGCTACCTTTTTTTTCTAGTCACCAACTAGTCTTTCAGCAGGGTCACCATAACCCTGATTATCTTTTGGCAAACTAGAGGGTGGGGTCATTTGGGGTCACGATTTTGCTGGTTATGCCCTTGAAAGCAAGTATGTGGATGCTGCAACTGTGTTCTCGAATGCCAGGATCCATCCTAAGTCATTTTTTCCAGTGCTGTCATAACTTCAAACAGTCACTAAACAAACGGCTGTACCTTGAGGACTATGTCTATTTAAGAATGCCCAATACCCTTTGGCTGCTTCTAACCCATTCGTCCTTCTCTGTCAGCCCAACCCACCTCACTGAGTAGTTGTGATGGGAAAAAGCAGGAGAAGGAATTTGTCTTACCTAGGTGTTTGCTGTCTCCAGTTATTTATAAAATGGCAGGATAAAAATCAAGCAAGCAAGCAAGCAAATTGATGCCCGGTTCTCTGCCTGCTCACTGCGGGAAGCCAAATAGCAAATAAATAAATAAATACACAAGCAGACAGGTAAATAAATAAAATTGTATCCCAATTCTCTGCTTGCTCACTGCCAGAAGCCAAAAATCAAAGGAACCAACCAACCGATAAATAAAAAAAATGGGAGCCCATTCTCAACCTGCTTACTACCAAAAAGCACCCTCTAGTCTAGGGATTGTTACCAAGAACCCCCCAAAGCGCCCCAGCCAAGCCATTACCATATTTACAACAAAAGCCTCAATCATTGCAAAAACAAAAAGGGGGGGGGGGTTGCCCTTCCACACCCCGCATCCAGGAGGGAAGAGAGAGCCAGGCACCAACAGGTTGTACTTATGATACAACCCATAAAGAACATTATTATTATACAATCAGTAAAGACCAAAAAAACAGGAGGGCAACCAACCCCCATCTTGCTGAGGATGGGGGGATCCTGGAAAAAGAGACAGAGGTGAGTGGCTGGGAATGATAAAGGGGGCACATGGTGGGAAGGGGATGCCGGTCTCTCATTAGAACACTTAATTCTCACAATTCTGTCTAATGATGTATATCAACCCAGAGAGGGTGGCTGTGATATTATTTATGCCTTTTATTTTCTCTATTCCCCCATTTTATTGTTATCATTCTCCTTGTTATTAAGTACAGTCAAGCCAGATGTTCAGGCTGCATTTGGCCTTGTTTTTCCCGCCTCTCCTTCCCAAGGACCCAGATTGCCCGATGGGGATGTCTGATGGTAACCCATCAGATGGCAAATATCCTAGCAGGATGTTCACATTTATTTATTCTAATTTATTTAATTACAATCCAAACACACAGTCAGCCTACTACTGTTCAGCCTGTATTCATCATCGTATTTTTATTTGCCTATTATCATCATTATCATTACTACTACTATTGATGTAATCTTCAATTCGATTCAAAGTTTGGGACTGGTAAAAACTTAACCATCCAAGTCCTCACTAAGGACCTCAAAGCTTTAAGATAGATTATTATTATTATACTTTATTCATGAAACTCAGTCAACTGAAAATGTATCACAAATTTTATTAACTATTATTATCGTTATTATTACTGATTTAATCTTCGATTCCCTGATAAAAAAACATAACCGTTCAAGTCCTAACTTAAAGACCTAAGAGCTGTTAAAGTAACACCTAAATATATAGGCAGTTCAAAGCAAGGTGGTGGGTTTTATTTTATTTTATTTGCAAACTTCAAAATATCCAGGTCTGCAAAATTTCCATCTATCCTCCTCCTCCGTCGCCTTGCAAGTACGCTGAGAGCTTCTGCACCGGGGACCGACCGACCCCTTTTGTGTCTCTTGGCCCAATAAAAGCATTTTATTCCATTCCATTCTCTTCCTCCCCCCCCAATTCCCCCCCCACACACACACAAGGAAAGAAAGGATGGGGGAACGAAGGAAGGAAGGGAAAAGAGAAAGAAAGAAAGAAAGAAAGAAAGAAAGAAAGAAAGAAAGAAAGAAAGAAAGAAAGAAAGAAAGAAAGAAAGAAAGA